GGGTGTGGTAAGCTTTTCATTATTCATCAAATGTTTCCTATTTATTTTATCCCTAGCACTATTTTATGCAGTGCATAGAATATGCATGGCCCAAAGTTTTTCATGTAAATTAATTTCAAATAACTGAAACACTTGATTTTCTTAATCTTAAATATTATCACTAGGACACTTTCTAAAATCATTTGTTTCACACCTTTTGAATTGCATACTAAACCTAGCTTGCGCTTTTCTTCTTGAGTCAGGGTCACCATCTTGTATGCTCATTTAGGGTTTACCAGCTAAAACTACAGGACACCCAGCAAAATTTCAGCTCAATTCATGAAATATTTATGATAAGCTTACACTAACAGATTATTCCTTATCTAAAGTTGGAATTTAACTGGACATTTTATATTTCATCTGTTAAATTTGGCAACTCTATGGTTATTATAATGTAATAATCCAGTGATTTTCAGTTGCAGTGTAGCCGTAGCAGACTAATTGTCCTGACAAATGGATGTCTCAAGACTGTTACGCTTTTTTTAATTTTGTAGTTTTTTTTTAACCTAAAATCTCTTTTCTTGTTAGCCAATGATAGTATTTCTTGTTATAGCCAGTGTATTGCATTTTCAATTCCCCTTTCCCTCTCCTTCTACTTGATTCTTATAATTGATTTGGGCTGGGAAATAAGATTCCCACATGTGACTGAATTTTCTATAAAGAGTCACTCCTGAGCAAGGGTACAGATACTTGAAGGTAAGTACTTGAGAAAAGTGTGTACTTTTAAAAATAAGGACTTCATAAAATCTTATTGTTGACCGCCCAGACACTATTATGTGGTTTCTTTCAAAGCATCTCCTGGAGTTGTGGTGGTTTTTATAGGGCATTATACAACGAGAAATAAGCCTCTGATGGAAGAGATTAATGATGGATATAAAAAAAAACCTTGCAACTGTGTTTTACACTTGAGCAGGATTCTGTATCTTGTTTCTGGAAATCTTTACAAAGAGCCAGATGCTGATCTGACTTGAACAATCTACAGGGAATCTTGCCTTAACACTGCAATCAATAGTCCAGCCCCTGAGTTGGGGCTTACCATGATGCCACTAAGGGTTGTTCAACTTTATGGTGGTACAAAAGTGACATGTAAGAAAGTGTACTTGGAATTTTGAGTTTTTTTCCCAAGCTACTGACATGTAGCACAATATTCTGAAGGGCAGCAGAAAGGTAAATAACAGATTCTATAGTACGTTGAGCTGCTGACCTATGATTTTGGTAGGGTGGTTATAGTAAATGCACTTCCAGCTTACGATAGTTTCAATATATGATATTTATCAACTTATATGAGTCTATCAGGATGTGACCCCATTCCAAACAGATGAAAACAAAGAAAAACAGGCCAGCACCACATCTACATTGGAAAATACTATGTATTCCAAATAGGGTGCTTAGAAAAGGTGCAGGTCAGCCTGCAATGGAGGAATCACAATGTCTATTCTTCCCTAACTGCACGCATTTTTGCAGTGATTAAACATTTTTTTCTGCCCCAGGCAATGTTTGTTCTGAGTATGGATTTGAAGTGGCTTCTGAATTAGAATTGCTAATGGTGAGCCAATAATTATTCTTACTCAGTACAAAGAGTCATCAAACACCTATCCACACCTTATAGTTTTGCATTTATCTTTATTTGACATCAGAAAAACTTGTGTAAAATGATTTATGGTGCAAAGAGCAACTTCAGTTTCAAGATGATGAAGTTCTATGCTATCTAGCTATGTCTACTTTTACTGGCTTTAGTCAAAGAATGACTCATCAGAATCAGATCCTGTGGAATATTTTGGGAGGTGTTAGAAAAGTCTAATACCAAGAAAAAAACCAGAATCTTAGTAAAAGAGTTTGATTTTTTTTAGAGGCTTCTATGGTTACCCATCAGAAAATACTTGCTAGATTGGTAAAACTATTCTAAATATTTCAGGCCTTTAACACTTGTTACAGGCCTTTTTGGTCACAACAAGAGCAATTTTCATCTGTGTAGGTCACTAGAGCCATTAGCTGTACTATATATTTAGAATCATGTGGCCTGATTCAATTTATTAACATGGTAAATACGGTTTCCTTTTTCCTCTTGATCAACAAAATAAAAATTCACTTCTAAACTATGTTAAGGGGCAGGCATTTGGCAAAATGGTTGAGATGCTGCTTGGGACGCTCCCATCCTATATGGAGTGCCTGGGTTTGAATTCCTGTTCCATGTCCAGTCCCAGCTTTCTGCTAATATGAACCTTGGGAGGCAGCATATGGTGGCTCAATTAGCTGAGTTTCTGCTACTAACATGGGAAACCCAGTTGGAGTTTTGGGTTCCTGCCTGGCCCAGTCCTGGCTATTGTTGGCTTTTGGAGAGTGAACCAGCAGGTAGAAGGTCTCTTGTTCTCTCTCTGCCTCTCAAATAAAAATAAATTTTTAAATTAAAAAATAAGCTATGCTAAGACTTATGGTTTTCCAGTATAATTACTATTTTCAATTTTAGCCAAAGAAATACATTTTAGGTTCTTTTTATCTCTAATAAATTTCTTGTACCCTAAAATATTGTTATAGTATTTTAGTAGATACCCTGTCTTAAAGGACAAGGATAATATGGACAACTGGAAGGATAGGGTAATTTTAAAAATATTTAAGAAGCATTCAATGAATGTTTATTGAAATGTGCAAGGTACTACATTATTGGTAAGGAGTTAACACCGTGGTGGGAGAGGCAGAGCCATGAACAGAGAATTATATTACAATGTGGTGAGGCTAATGATGAAGATATGAGACAGGTGTGTCTTTTTCTGTAACTCAATAAAACTAACTCAGCCTTGAAGTATTGGGGAAGGCTTTCTGGAGGAGTTAATGCCTGGGTTGAGTCTTAAAGGGTAGGTAGTCAGGCAAAAAGGGCAGAGAGAGACTTAGCAAAGACACTGACGTGAATAGGGAAATGTCTTCTTGGTTCTGAGTTTCTGAAATAGCCTCCTTAGTCATTGGTAGAAGGAAAGGCACTCCAGCCCAGTCATGTCTAATCTTGATATGCTATGTTGTGGTGACCTATGTAGTGGTGACCTCACGGACAGCTATTATGACTGTAAGCTGTCAAGTTTGCCACATAGCCCCTACATGTTTAGATACAACTCTTTCCCCATTTTCCAAGCAGTCTACTGTATCTCAAATGATAATCACAGTCCCTTCCTGTATGAGTTTTCTGTGACTGCCTTAACAAGGTTCCATAAACTGGATGGCTTAAACATCAGAAATTTATTGTCACGTGGTTCGGAGAATAGAACTCTGAGATCAAAGAATCATCAAGGTTGTTTCCTTCTGAGCACTGTGAGGGGAGAATCTGTTCCAAGTTTCTTTCCTAGCTTCTTATGACCTGCTGACAGTCTTTGCCGTTCTTTGGCTTACAGATGATCACGCTAATCTATGTTCAAGTGAGGTAGTGCCTGTCCACAAATTGCCCTCTATTTTTTTTTTCCTTAAAGATTTATTTATTTGTTTGAAAGAGTTACAGAGGGAGGGAGAGATAGAGACAGAAAGATCCTTTATCCTCTGGTTCACTCCCCAAATGATTGCAATGGCCAGGTCTAGGCCAGGCCAGAGTCAGGAGCTTCATGTGAGTCTCCCATGTGGGTAGCAGGGGCCCAAGTACTTGGGCCATCTTCACTGCTTTTCTCGGCCATTAGCACAAAGCTGGATTAGAAGTGAAGCAGCCAGAACTCAAACCAATGCCCATGTGGGATGCTGGTGTCACAGGTAGCGGCTTTACCTGCTATGGCACAATGCTGGTCCCCCAAATTTCCCTCTTGATACAAGTCACATTAGAGTAGGATCATATCTTATTCCCACTCTAGTATCAACTGTCTTATCTAATTATGTTTGAAATATCCTTGTTTTCAAATAAAGTCACATTATGAGGTACTGAGGTTAGGACTTCAACAAGAATTTTGAATGGACAAAATTGAATACAGAGTACCCCTTTCCAGTATAAATTCTACAGCTTAATTTTAATTTCAGAATATACCAAGAACATAAATTGTTTTTGCTTATTTTCCAGCGGTTAACCTTTTTGTAGTTACATAAAATATATTCTGTTAATTTTCACAGTATCATGGAGTGTCTAGAGTTTAGTAAGTTTATCTAGTCAGTGTCTTAACCCACTGTTTCATTAAATACTGATACTTCTCAAAAGATATTTTCCAAACAGTATAATATCCTAAATTAAAAGTATCATGACTTAGTTGTGAACACAGTGTGATAAGGAAAGATTCTGAGGTATTGAACAATTCGATAAAACAAGAATATATTAAGCTACCGTCCAAAGAAGGTATAACAAACAATAGACAAAATGGCTACAAAACATGTTTCTGGATAATTTGATATGGGATTGATAATAATTGGCTAATCTGGCATTCCCATAAGAAAATTAGTTCTTATATACTATTGATAACTTCAAGAGTAAAAGACAGAGAACTGGTGATCATTTCTACATAAATCTTTATTAATTTTATATTGAATTCTAATTTTTGGTATCTGATTAAAATTACAACTATTAGGTCCTTTTCCCCTCTACTTTCAAAATGGGTCCACTGTGTAGATAATTACCTAGACAATTCGTTATGTCTTGATTTCTTTTTTACAGTTCATAAGGTACTTGTATACACCAATATTCAACAGAGATAATAGCATTTCTGAAATCACTTGCTTTTCACCTGGAGCAAAACAGTTTGGTCCTGTATTTGTTCAAATCCTGTTCCTGTACAGAAGCGTCTGGCTTTGCAGAACTTAGGTGGATGGGCAAAGCATCGCATTCCACCAATGATCGAAAATCTCGATACTATTAATGCTGTTTTCTCTTGGAATCCTAAATAGATTTCATGTTCTTGTTATTATTTCCTATGACAGGTTTTGCTTTTTGGCTCTGTTAACATCCAAAATAATCTATTCTGTGTTATTTCGTTGGCTTAGTTTTCCATTTCCCGGTTGTTAAATCACTGTAGGAAAAACTAAGCCCTGAGTCATAGGAGCCTGTAGTACGTTTGCCTTGCTTTCCCCACAGGTTCTCGTCCTTCTCATCTACTGCCTCAGAACCTTTTCTTTCCTCTCTTATGCTAAGTTCCTTTTACACTGAAGCTGTGCAGGGGGATTTAAATTCCAACCCGGAACTCAGAATCGCACGCCTTGCATGACGGGAGTCGTGGTTTCTGTGACTACTCCATGACCGCCTTTCACGTCGATTTCTCCTCTCAGTCAAACACTACAATTCCCAGAATTCAACTACAGGTGGAGCCGCCCATTTGCGCACGCGCCCTGAGGCCGCAGGATTTGAATCGGCGGCGTTGTTATTGACGCCATATTGGGGCCGGCGGCGGGTGGAAGAGTCGTACAGTACAGGGGGAAGCAGTTGGACGTGTTCTCCTGAGCTGTTGCTGCCGCAGCAGCCTCGCAGTCCCTCGACAGCGACTGCTGCTCGCGAACTGCTGGCCGCGCTCGGGCGTATCAGGAGCTGCGTCTCGGCCTCCCTCCCCACGGGGCTGGTATCGACTTCCGAAGGAAGCAGGTTTCAGCTCAGGAGCGACTCAGGCGCGGCGCAAAAGCTTGAACGGACGGCGGGGGCGGCCGGAGCCTCTCCCGTGGGAGCCGCGTCTGAAGAGGCGGAAGAGCCCCCCACTGACGCGGCCGGCGTGCGCTGCCGCCCGCCCCTCCCGCTCTCGCCCGGGTCTGCCCTGGCCACTGCCCCTGCCGCGGAGGCAGCGGCGGCGGCGGCTCTCCGCGACCCGCCTGGCTCCTGCTGAGCCCGTGGCTTAGGCGCCCCTCGGGTCCCCTCCCGTCACCCCTCTCCGACCCCACCCGAGCCCGGCGCCTCGGCTGCCTGAGGCCATGGCGTGCGGAGCCACTCTGAAAAGGACTCTGGATTTCGACCCGCTGCTGAGCCCGGCGTCCCCGAAGCGGAGACGATGTGCGCCATTATCAGCGCCCACCTCGACCGCCGCCTCCCCGTCGTCGGCGGCCGCGGCCACCGCCGCCTCCTTTTCGGCCGCGGCCGCCTCGCCGCAGAAGTATCTCCGAATGGAGCCGTCCCCCTTTGGCGACGTCTCCTCCCGCCTCACCACAGGTGGGACCCGGCCCCGCGGGCTCGGGGGTGGGCGAGAGCACTGGGATCGTGGGGGCGTGCGCGGCAGGAGGCTGCCGGGGTGGGGGCACTGGACTGTGGTCTCCGTTCTCAGCACAGTGCTCGGGCGACCACATTGCTGATAATTAGCTCCTCGGGCTACGGAGACACAATAGAAATGGCCTGATGTCGAGGCGGGAGATGGGGTGGATGAGGGCCGGGCCGGTATTGTGAGGAAGAGGAAGATCTTTTTCTTTGGGCGGCATGACTGGAATCGAGTGTTTCCGTGGTCGGTAGAGCCCCGGCGGAAATGATCAGCGAGGGCGATGTTCTTCACAAATTTAGGCGAGAGAAGGCTCACATTTCACCCGAATCTGGATGTGTTTGCCCGAATCGATTGGTTGCAGCTATTAACTCTGGATTAGGTGGTTTGAGGCGAGGCGACGGCCCCTCCTCCAGTTCAGACATGGCTGATTTTAGTGTAGAGGGGGAAGGGGGTGGGGATGGATGTCACTGGGGCGAGATCTAGGCCTGTCATTAATCACCCACAAGAACGCCACTTTGGCTGAGTCAAGACCTGTTTCCCTAGCACGGTCAACAACAAAGAAAATAGTCTTCCCGAGTACTGTAATGTGATCGCACTATACGTCTAGACCTTGGGAATCTTGAACTTTTGACGAAAAGCGAATTGTACTGAAAATTGGGGCTGAGTGATTGCTTTTATTTGAGAAGGCTTTATTTCTGCCCAACAAAGTCACGTTGGGAGAAAACCACCTAGTCTTAAGAATTAATAAATCACCCTAAGGATCCAGGGGATTTCACAGACTTTTTTTGCTCTGTATCTTGAAACATTTCCTGAAAGTGACTGGGGAATGCCTTTTTGGCTGCTTTGTACAGCATGTGTGTGCCCGGTTTTTTTTCTGGACTTTGAAATCCTTGTGTGCCCCTGGCACAGTCCTAGGATAGGCTTTTGTGGACTTGAAGTGTAAATCGGGTTCCTTTGTGTGTAGCTTGCCAAGGTTTTTTGTGAGAGCCTTTGGTAGTAATATCGCATTAGACAAAGCCTTTTCATAGCTTAATTTAAATGTCTCCTTATCATTAGCTTTAAAAAAGTAAGAAGTGTATATACCTCTATATTTGGTAACTTCCGTTTGGAATTGACTTTATGAAGTTTTTTTTGTTTAATGCCACATTTCAAAATATCCTTTGCCAAACCATGAAAAGATTCAAATACCCAACTACCATTTTTACTGATACTTAACTTAAGGGCATACAGCTTAGAATTGTGGCCCGTTTTCACAGGCATTCCCAGGTAAAATGAATGACTATACCTATGCTGTCTTCTATATCAAGGTATTCAATTGATTGATTGATAGGTTTTACTTTAAAAAAACGAAAAAGGGAACAACCATTATCTGGAATGAGTTCCAGGTGTTTTACATTTTTAGTGCCTGTTTAGTGAAATGGTATGAAAACTGAAATGATGTCATGAGATTTGTACTTCGCAGCTACTAAGGCCACTTTCAAAAAAGCTGTAACCAATACATTTCGGTCAAGAAAGTGAATTAACAGGGTTAAATTTGGGAGTTAATGTACTTCTCAATGCTAAAGTAATCTTGTGCATTATATGTAAAATGGTGAGGGGTGGTTGTAACATGTCTCCTCACTTTAGAGAAAGTATTCAGAAAGAATTGTGATCATTGGCAAGCTTGTCATTTCGTTGATGTATTGGCAGCACTGGTTAATACAGTTGTCTCCACATCTCAAATTGCAATTAAATGATTATAAAAGTAAAGTTACTAGAATTCAAATCCACATTCATTTTCTGAAATATTTCCTTCATTCAAGGTGCTTTTTGACTTTCACTTTGGAAGTTTGGTCACTTGCTGAAACCTGAAATAACATCTGAATTGATCTTTTTATGAAGGTTGCTAAAAGTTATTTAGCTGTCTCAACTAATTTGAATATTAACAAAAAGTTGACTTGAAAGCTAGTTAACATTGCTGAAGTTAGACTTAATTAAAACGGAAATTTCTTTTTATTGTAATTTTGAAAGACATTCCAAATTAATTTAATTTGGCCTTGTGTTTATGGCCAGTTTGATGTATGCTTTTTTTTTTTGTACTAATATTTTCATAAAAGGAGCTAGTCTTACGCAAGTTTCAAGGAGCTTCTCAGTTTTCATGTGAAGAAACTTAGAAATGATTTTCCCAAACACTCAATTTTTAGATTGCTATTTTCACAGTGGCGATTCTTAAACTTCCTAAGAGTGGATACTCATATCCTTAGCTGAAACAAGTAGCCAGGATTGGATTTACCAAATTGAAATTTTATGGGAACTCTCTTTTCCTTTCACTTCTGTGGGTTCAAATATAATCTAAATAATTTAGTACTAGAGTTCTGAAGTTTATTTTTTTTCAGGGCATGTATAGTATGCAACTTATCTGTATTCTCTGGATATTTAATAACACTAGTTCCTTCTGATGGTGTAGTTGAAGTCGTGTTGTGGCTTTATTTAGTTTCAGACACTTGGACATGTGTTTTAAACCTTAGCTGTTATTTTAGTTTGACTTGACAGCTATCATTTAAATCGATATTGTTCAAACTGTTGCAACTTAATACTAGTAAAAAGGGATGGGCTAAACTGAAGGAAGTTAAGCTTTCTTGCTTAACCTCAAAACTTGAAGCCTTTATTTTGCTAATTAGCATTGTGACTTTTTTAGGGTCTCCTTTATCAATGCCTATGCCAACTCTGGTTTTTGGGACACCTGATTCACTAATTCAGAAATGTTGTACATCATTTAGGGGAGGGTCTAGAAAATACTATGGTGGTATTTTCATGCATCCTGGGAGCTACAAATGTGTTTTTTTACATTTTTCATGGTTGGAAAAGAGAATTACTTCATGACACGTGAAAATCTGTGAAATTCAAATTTCATTGTATATGAATCAAATTTTATCGGAACGGAGCTTTTTAAAGTTCCATATGTTGTAGGCTACAATGACAGAGTTGAGTAGTTGTGACAGACTGTATTGTCCCAAAACTCCATATTTGCTGTCTGGTCCTTTGCAGAAAAACTTTACCTATCCAATTAGGGTGTCAGCAGTGAAGCTTATAATACCTTGGATATGGAAAAGGAAAAGTAGATGATGAGGGTAGATATTTGGGAAAAAGGGGGCAATATTGTACATGATTGGAAGAAATGAATACCTCAGTGCATGAATAGTCATTGTGGTTGGTTAGTTGAAAGCAAGTTTCAAAGTATTCTGTCCTTATTGTTTGATTTTTTTAACACATCTCATTGTGTTACCATTTAGCCAAAAGATTGTCATGATATTCCCAAGAATAAAACCCAAATATTATGCAACATTTTAAGAGACTGTCCATCAAATGCAACGCATTGTTTTCATAATAGTGTGCTGAATGAATGATCTAGTGAACAGATCCTCCTGTGGATGTCAACCTATTTGTGAATTTGCTAAGCATATTAATACACGTTGTTTATGGGTTGGTACCATTGTTCTAGATTGCCTGAGGAATTAAGTTGGATGAACAGTTAAATTCCTTTGTGAGAACTCAGTGTATTTGCCGGAAACTTGCCATTAAAAATGGAAACTACAGCTTGTGAATGAAGAAGGCTTATGGGAGTATAGATTGTTCATTAGATACTGATGCATGCCTGCAGACAGAGACACCAGCTGGCTTAAATGAAATATAAATGGTTCTAGGCAAACAAATGAGATGTCTGTTGGAGAAGACAGCATCTCACTTCAGATGTCATTTATATTGAGCCAGAAGTGTCTTTTAGTATTTTGTGGTTATTTAGACAGCTGTTGCTTCTAAGGTTTTCAGTGAATTTGGCAAATAAATGTTTTCTAATGGTCTTTGTACTTTGGATTTTAAACCCAATATTTTAGGTAGAACTATGTATGTAAGTGTAGTTATTTCATAGTTCCATGAATTATGCATTTAAGAATTTTGCAAGTTCATGGCCATTAAAAACAGTGCACTTGTATTCATTACTGAGCTTTTTATTTATTTATTGACAGTAGAAAATAAGCGGTAACTTGAGCATAGAAAACACATAGGCTAAGCCTGGATAGTAATAACCACTATGGTTGCTATGGAAGCATAACCTGAAGTGTAAAGGAGAGTAATTTCTTTAGTTTTTGAATGCCTTTATAGGAAAAAGAATATATGGTGTATTGCTTGAGTAGGATAGGTCTTTCCTGTTGTTTAGATAGACCTGGGAATGCACAGTAATAGAAGTAATATGAGGTTGAGAAAAAAAATCATTAAAGTACCTAGTTTTGGGTATTTTTCCTATTTGAAAACAAACTTTTGAATCTCCTTGAAGAATATACAGTGACAGCATGAATTGAGTTTGGACCTCAGTTGGTTCAGGAAACTAATGGTGTTAAAGGAGTGGGTATTTTCAAGTACCTGGAACTCAGTTAGCCAGCAATTTGTGGTTCCTATAGTCCTTTGTTAACACATTATCTGTTACTGTTGACTTCAAGGGGTGTTCTCTGTGCATGTGTGAAACCACAGTGAATTTCTTGCCTTTGAGAAGACTACCTACTTTTTTTTCAGGTTTAATTATTAATTTGAGAGAGTTACACAGAGGAGAGGCAGAGAGAGAAAGGTCTTCCATCCTCTGGTTCACTCCCCAATTGGCCGCAAAGGCCAGAGCTGTGGCGATCCGAAGCCAGGAGCTTCTTCCAGATCTCCCAAGCGGCTGTAGGGACACAAGGACTTGAGCTGTCTTCTGCTGATTTCCCAGGCCATAGCAGAGAGCTGGATTGGAAGTGGAGCAGTTGAGACTCAAACCAGTGCACAGATGAGATACCAACACTGCAGGCAGCAGATTTACCTGCTACGCCACATGCTGGTCCCAAGACTACCTACTTCTAAAAAGGTATTAAGAGGAAATAACTCCTCAGACATGACCTAGCCTAGCATTTACAGATGCTAAAATGTTCACAAATGAATTTAATTCAAAGAGAACCATCTTTATTTTGCTGAGCTTGGGGATTCTAGAATTCATTTACTTAAAAGTGTTTCTCAACTTTCTAAACACATCTGAGAGAGATGATTCATCAGTGGCAGTCTTGGTGTAGCAACAGTTGTTAACTGGATTGGCTTGTACTTATACACATGATCTTTAAAAAATTTCTACACTCAAAACATTTTTTAATTCCATTTCCCCACAAACTCTTTAATGTATGCTCATATGGTTTGAAAATAATTCCAAGGTTGTTGTTGTTATTTTTACCATTTCTTTTAAACGTAGCACAAAATTTTTCAGATTTTCAGAGTGGACAGAGAGAGAGAGAGAGAGAGAAAGGTCTTCCTTTTGCTGTTGGTTCACCCTCCAATGGCCGCCGTGGCCGGCGCATCACGCTGATCCGAAGCCAGAAGCCAGGTGCTTCTCCTGGTCTCCCATGTGGGTGCAGGACCCAAGCACTTGGGCCATCCTCCACTGCACTCCCGGGCCACAGCAGAGAGCTGGACAGGAAGAGAAGCGACCAGGACAGAATCCTGCGCCCCAACCGGGACTAGAACCCAGTGTGCCGGCACCGCAAGGCGGAGGATTAGCCTATTGAGCCATGGCGCCGGCCTTAACTAAGATTCTTAAAGGTGCTAAAGTTGAAAGAAAAATGTTAGATTCTGTACCAGTTTTTTGTTTTGGACTGTTTTGTAGCAGTATAGTTAAATAGGTGGCATTTTATGACAAAAGTGTTTGACTAAAACAAGTTGTAATAAATACTGCAATTAAGTTTAAGACTTGGAAGGATACTTTTTTTGAGGCATTTGATAATACTTTCCAGTATTCCTTCTTTTTTATTTTGACAGGAAGAGTTAGTGAGAAAGAGAGAGAGAGAGAAAGGTCTTCGTTCCGTTGGTTCACCCCTCAATGGCTGCTATGGCCTGGCCCTGCGCCAATACGAAGCCAGGAGCCAGGTGCTTCCTCCTGGTCTCTCATGGGGTACAGGGCCCAAGCACTTGGGCCATCGTCCACTCCCTTCCTGGGCCACAGCAGAGTGCTGGACTGGAAGAGGGGCAACCGGGACAGGACCAGTGCCCCGACCCGGACTAGAACCCGAAGTGCCGACACTGCAGGTGGAGGATTAGCCTGGTGAGCCGTGGCGCCAGCCCCAGTATTTTTTAAACATGCATTACATAGAAAACAATAATTTAAATAGGCCCATTTATAAGAATTTTACCATTATCAGATTTGCTGATTGAAGAAATACATTTTTAAAGATTTTATAGGATTTTTAGGAAAAATATTTTTTGACATGAAAATCTGATCTTTTATTTCTAAAAGAACTGAGTGATTTAAGTGGACTTTTCTCACATGATGAGATGACATTGTAGCTCTATATTGAGCAAGGAATTCTTGGTAGTTGTTAAAAATCTGGTATGTCAGTTTTCCAGTTTTGGTATTCATTTTGAGCTGATGAGAATTTTGCAGTATAACAAAATTTATCTTTGTTGTGATGTTAGAATTTTGGGGGCTGGTAATTAACCTTACAGCACAGAAAAGAAGATTATAATGCACTTTTAATTTGTCTTGGGGTTTAGCTTTTTTCCCTTAAACATTTTCAATCACTAGTTTCAGTCTGCCACATATGTCACAAGCAGATCATCCTGAGATGATAAAGTGCTATGGAAAGTTATAATTTAATTAAAGTTGGAATTTTTCCACCTAAATGATTTTTGACTTGAGTTTCTTTCTTTTCTTTTTTTTAGATTTTTTTTTATTTATTTGAAAGAGTTACAGAGAGAGGTAGAGACAGAGAGAGAGGTCTTCCATCCTCTGTTTCATTCCCCAAATGGCCACAATGGCCGGAGCTGTGCCGATCAGGAGCCAGGAGCCTCTTCTGGGTCTCCCACATGGGTGCAGGGGCCCAAGGATTTGGGCCATCTTCTGCTTTCCCATGCCAGAGCAGAGAGCTGGACTGGAAGAGGAGCAGCTGGGACTAGAACCGGCACCCATATGGGATGCTGGTGCTTCAAGCCAGGGCATTAACCCACTGGGCCACAGCAGCGGCCCCAGGACTTAAGCTTCAATTTTGAGGTCTAGTAATGGACCTGGTTTTCTTTGCATTGTTTAAAATTTGAAATTCCTTTAGAATTCACTTGTTTTAAGCCCTTATGAGCTCAATTTGAATTCTAGATACTGTGCTTGGTTAGGCAAAAAAGAGTAAGTCTCTTGAGTGACTGGAGAGCAACCACATTTGATACTTTATTAGCTATCCAAACTTGTATTAAAATACTTTAATACCCTTTTAAAATGTACCTGTTTTTAATTTCTCATGAACATTTTCCACATTGACATTATTTCCATTTTTGATGGCCTGCTGAAATTGGTTTACTATTTAATCACACTTTAACAGCCTTTGAAACTTTTAAAAAAATGATTTTTTAAATAGATGTTGAAGTTGGGGCCCGTGTTGTGGCTTAGCAGATAAAGCTGCTGCCTGCAGTGCCGGCATCTCATATGGGCACTGGTTCGAGGCCCGGCTGCTCCACTTCTGATCCAGCTCTCTGCTATGGCCTGGGAAAACAGTAGAAGATGGCCCAAGTCCTTGAAGCCCTGCACCCGCATGTGAGACTTGGAAGAAGCTCCTGACTTCGGATCAGCGCAGCTCCGGCCATTGTGGCCAATTGGGAAGTGAATCAGCAGATGGAAGACCCCTCTGTCTCTGCTTCTCTGTAACTCTGCATTTCAAATAAATCTTTAAAAAGAATAGATGTTGAAGCTTTTCTTTCTGAAATTGTCTCAATATGTAGTATATATTCTTTTTCCTTTAGGTTTCATGTTTATTTCCATTAATGCTAATTCTTAGAAAACTCCCTCAAAAAAAGGGGGGAGAGGTTGTCTAGAGGGACTTTGAAGAATTAATCTTTCTTATGTTTCTTAATCTTAGAAAATGAACTAGCATTGTTGGACTGATTTAGCAAATGTAGAAAGCAGACTAGAATTTGAAGAAAGTCATGTTTTCAAACATTTCTTTAGATTTGCCCTTTAACTGTGATAGGGGATTACCTTATTTCTACTGTCAAAATATAATTCTCTGGAAGAACTTTTTTAAGTGGTATGACTGGTTTAAAAGTATAGGAGATTTTAATTCCTGTAACAGAATGGGGACCTGGTACTGTAACAACCTCTACCTTCCACAGCCCAGGGTGAGACACAGCATTAACAGAGGCTGGCATTATAATCATAACATCTGTGGTAGTGCTGACTTAGAGTTCAGAGTATTCCTCATTTTGAACACACCAATAAAATACCCTGATTGGGTATGGGTGACTATTCTGTGAGGAAGATGAGAATTATGTTTCATCTCTTCTACTGCCTTCCTGTCCATCAGAATTTTTGAGTGGGGCTGGTGTTGGTGGTGCAGCAGATAAGCCACTGCTTGCAGCACCACATCCCATATGAGCTCTGCTTCCAGTCCAGCTCCCTGCTAATATGCCTGGGAAGCTGGAGTCCCACTCATGTTGGAGACCATAATGAAGTTCGAGATTTCTGGCTTCATCCTGGCCCAGCCTGGCCATTGGGGTCATTTAGGTAGAGAAGCAAGATGGTAGATCTCACTTTCTGTTTTTCTCTTTAACTATGCCTTTCAAATAAATATTTAGAAAGGGCCAGCATTATGGTTCATTTGGTTAAACCTCTGCCTGCAATACTGGTGTCCTGTATTGGTGCCTGTTCGAGTTCTGGCTGCTCAACTTTCAATCTAGTTTCCTGCTAATGTGGCTGGGAAAGCAGAAGCAGATGGCCCAAGTACTTGGGCCCCTGCACTCACATGGGAAACCAGAATGGAGTTCTAGGATCCTGGCTTTGGCGTGGCCCAGCCATAGCCTTTGTGGCCTTTTGGGGGAGTGAACCAGAAGATGGATGATCTCTCTGTGTAACTCTGCTTTTCAAATAAATCCTTTAAAAAATGTTCTTTGCATCAGAATCAATTCATACTTTTTTTTTTTTTTTTCAAGACTATTGATTCAAGACTATTGATTTGAGAGGTAGAGCAACAAACAGAGGGAGAGACAGAAAGTTCTTCATCCACTGGTTCACTCCCCAAATGTCCATAATGCCTGGAGCTGGGCTATCTGAAGCCAGGAGCCCGGAGCTTCTTCCAGGTCTCCCATGTGGGTGCAGAGACCCAAGGACTATAGGACATCTTCCACTGCTCTCCAAGGCCATAGGCAGAGAGAGCTGCATTGGAACAGGATCAGGAGACATGAACTGGCTGCTCTTTCTGCCAGTGTGGCAGCCTGAGGCTTAGCCTACGACACAGCATTAGCCCCTGTATTCATCTGTTTAATTCTATTTTCCATGAACTAAAGATTTTATTTATTCTTATTTTAAAGACATAGTTACAGAGAGAGGTAGAGACAGAGAGAGGTCTTCCATCCGCTGGTTCACTTCCCAGAAGATGGCCACAACGGCTGGAGCTGCGCCAATCCAGAGCCAGGAGCTTCTTCCAGGTCTCCCATGTGGGTGCAGTACTTGGGCCATCTTCTAATGCTTTCCCAGGCCTTATCTGAGAGCTGGATGGGAAGAGGAGCAGCTGGGACTAGAATCTGCGTCCACATGGGATGCCGGCACTTCAGGCTAGGGCTTTAACCTGCTGCACCACAGCGCCAGCCCCCATGAACTTTTAAAGTACTCTTTTACACTGATGGAGAGGTTGATAGATGTTAAGAGCTTGGACCCTGAAGTCAGGTCTATGTTCTGGATGTATGACCTTTCAAAAGACTGAAGTACAGCTTCATTTTCCTTA